CACGGTGCGGGGCGTGGCGGGCAGCCAAGCCTCCGACCGCGGCGCGGAGCTTCTACGCTGGGCGCCTCGCCACCGTGCGCCGGCGCTTCCGTCGCCACGCGGTGCGTTTCGGCACGTTGCGTGAGATCAAACGCCCGGTCGTTCTCACTGCCTTCCTCCCGTTGCTGTTGCTGCTGCTGCTGCAGCTCACACTGCTGCTGGTGTGGCTGAGATGGAGAACTGTAGGCATCGCTGCTGTGCATCTCCTGCCGCTCACTCTCGGCTATCTCCCGCTTGGGCGAGAGTGAATCGGCATGGCTTCCGCCTTCGGCAACCACAAGGGACGCACGCACAACTTCTTCTCGTTTCGCACGCACCTCGTCTGGCACTCTCATGACGTTCTTGACAAACACACCGAGGGCCCTTTTGCGCAACGCAGATGTCAGATCGCGGAGAAGCGGGATGCCTGACATCAGAGAGGCGCTGCCACGTTGCATGTGGCGCGGCCCCGTAGCGACAGCGCGAGAGCTACGACGCCCGGCAGAACCAGCAACAGCTGCTGCTGAGACCTCTGCCTCAACGACTTCACGAAGGGCCACATCGCCCACGAAACTCTCCGCCTTGCCATTTGCAAACTCTCGCGTCCCCTCATCACGGAAGATGGGGCTCAATCCTCCTTCCTCCGGCACGCTGCAGGAGCCGATGTTCAACGCCAGCGAGCAAACAAATGGTGCACCACCCGGGAAGGGCTGATGAACGCGCCGCAACTTTCCACAGCAGTCGCAGCTGATCCAACAGAAGGATGCCACCACAGCAGCATCGTTGTGGATAAGCGTGTTAAGGTGCTGCGTTACTCGACCACTATGCGAAGGCTCTGCAGCAGATTCAAACGGTTCATACGTTTCATTCTTCAGGTCGACTCCACCTTGTGGTTTCCTGGCGAGACGCTCACTGCGCCGTCCGTGAAGCTCCTTTGTCAGTTCTTCATTCAGGCGCTGCTGCTGGGGCTCCAGAGGCCCGCGTTGCCGAATGCTTTTACTCAGGCTACTACCAGCACCACAGCTTCCCTTCTCATTGCCCTTGACACAATCCATGGCAGTATACAACTCACCTAGCCACTGCTCCCGCAAGTCTGCCCACACATCTTCCAATGTACAGTAAATCCACTGACACGTAAAGTTAGCGGGATTTGGAATAAAGTACGTGTGTCCCTCTTCTTCCTCATTATGGTGGCACTGTTTGCCTTGCTTGGCAACATCGACAATTTTTTCATAATGCTGTCGCAGCCGAGGCGAGCGCCATTCATCCCGAGACTCTTCCTTCCCACCCTGTTGCCGCTCCCGCCGTTGTCGGTCGCCGGGAAACCTTGCTGCCCACTCGCTACGCGTCGGACACATCGGCACTTCATCAGGTGGCTGCGACGTGACGGGCTGCGCCACCCACCGATGACATCGCACACACTGCAGGAGGACGGAGCGCGTGACGGTTGGGAAGCGGTGCCGCAGTGACCACAACGACCCCGGCAAGGGTATGTAGCGTGCCGCATGTACAACGTCGCTACTCTCACCGCCTCCCGTCATGTGCAGTGCTGCTCCACTTTCCTTTATTAAAACAAAGCCGTCACTACCGGCTATACACAGCGCCCACAGGCTACAAGTAACAGAAAACAAGTACCCAACAATCGAGGGCCAAAGGAGAGAAGATGAGATGGTGTTCAAATATGGGCACATGAAAGCAGATCAGAGAGGAGAACAAACCAAAGATGTCACTCACCTATACACAGTATCATTAGAGAGGCTTCGGGTAAAACAAACAGCAACCGTCAAGGAGGTAATACATCATCTTTGTCTAATCAATCCTACATCGGGAGGCCAGAACTTGGACCAATAGAACACGCTATCACCGAAAGGAAGACTAT